TCACTTGAGTCGAGCGGGCTGACTACTAGATGACCAGAGTTCGAAAGGTCCACCCCAGGAGGCTCTTTCGGAAGGAGAGAGGCCGGTGAGATAGAGAGGCAGATGAAGAATTGGTGGTCGAAGGCAATCGCTACCACTGACCCCCTTGAGAAAGGTAGAGGCTAAATCCACGCCGCCACCGGCTAATTGCCAGTAGTAGTAACTCTCAGCGGGATCGTCTCGAGTCTGCAAAAAGTGAAGAGCTTTTTGGCGGTCATCTAAAGATTCCCTCTCCTTGTCCTCTTCATCTGCCTTCTTGTTCGCGTCTTCAGTCTCCCAAGACGATCCAATTGAACAGAGGCAAGAAAACAGTAGGAGGCATTCAAATATCAAACTGATTAATCGGGAGGTAATGAATAAAATACATCCATAACATAAAAACTGACTGAATCTTAAAGTGGGTACGAAAGGCCACAAGTTGCACACGTGAATACAAGGCATTTGGTTTGTCAACCTTGGAATTCACTAGAAACGGACTAGCTTACACATGGACAGCAGTCTACGAGAAGGTAAGTCATGATTTCATACAAAACTCATAATTTAAGAAATTCCTGTTTGAAACAAGAATGTTTTAGCTCACCATAATCGTTGAATCAAAATCGATTATGCAGAAGTTATTAAAGCCTTCCGAAAACTTGGATATGATTTCTGTCAACGGTGACCGGTGGCGAGCGTCAAGTACCAGACACAACTTGCAAATGTCATCAAGTGTGTTCATCCATTTACTGAGTTGAGTTAAGCTTCCTTGATTGGACGTAGCAATGTGAGCGAAAAAAGAGTAGTTGGAATCTAGAGCAGTAAATAGTGTCTTGAGCAGTGTTTCTGTGCTGAAGGTTTGAAGTGGGAAATGCAAAAGTTCCACAAATATCAGTGCCAATGACCAAAGATCGGATCGCGTGTCGAGGAGACAAGGTGGTGTAGCGGATTCTAATGACGCAAGCTGCAAGCATGATCCAGAAAACAAAAGCGTTTCTGGAGAGGAATAACGTAAGTCCACAACGGGAAAGTCGAGATCTAATCCCCACCGGGAAGCATATAAAACTCCATAACCAGCGATCTTAACTCGCCCAAAATTATCAATAAGGATAGCTGACGGACTTAGGCACCCGTGTATAATCCCATGAGACTCCAAATAAGTCAGGGCGCATAAACACTCATGAAATCGCCTCAATAGCCAGTTGAAATCCGACCGCTTTGTGACTGGGGGATTTAGTTGACTGAAATCAGATGCGTAATGCTCTGTAACAAGATAGATGCGTCGGTGTTTGTCGCATTGGGCATCAAGGTAGCGCACGATATTAGGATGGCGCAAGCGACGAAGGTCAATTAATCGGGAGACGCAAGAAATTGTGCAAGGAATGCGAGGTGATTCACTGGAGGAGGAGACTTGAACAAAGTCCTCACCCGCAATAAGACAGGAAAGACCAAGATTGAGACATGTTGTCCGAGGTTTATAAAAGGCGTCCTGGATGCCCATGACTGGAAATGTGGCATACAAGAGGATGAGTATGAAACCAATGAAGTCGATCACTTACGCAAGAATTCTGATTTTAACACGATCAAGTGAGGGATGAACTAGAGGTGGGAAGAGGTAAATACTCGACCATAATGCACTGTTAAGTGATATTTGACGATGAAAGGGGGTAGAACTGCGGTAAATACTGACATGACGAAACAATTCAGCTGTGAAATGGATTGATCATAGCCATTGCGGTGATTTCGGCAAAAAAACACCTTCTGACCATAAAAGAGCTACTTTTGTGCACATCGAATAAGTAAGTCAAAAAACACTAGCAGCCTAACTGACCAATCAATTCTAAAAAATAAAAGCATTGTCACCTTGATAAGAACCCTTGAAGAAAAACCTTTGCGTTTCAGAAATGAAATAAAAATATTTGCAAATATATCAGTTTAACTATATATGCGTATTGGAAAAGAGGGTGCGGCATGAACGCGAAGTGCATTTATTTTGCAATGGCATGAGAACAAATGTTGACCTAGAGCGAATAAAAAATTATGTTTTGAGAATTTTTTATGGCAATCCCGTCGCATTTTTACAGATTTAAGCTGCATTTGAATTGTGTCTCTTAAAATGTTTAAGATAGTCAGTCATTGAGCGGTCTTTACTGTTCGTGTAGAGGTGAGACGTGCTATGTTCCAGTTGGCTCGGTTAGATCGATTTCTCCGCCCAGTCGTCCAGACGATAAAGCGTTCTTCTCACGACGAGATCAAGTTAGAAATGTTATTTGTTAATTTATAGGGTTTATTATCGTGATCACACGCATTACGACGAAAAATCAGAGAGGGCTTTTCGCATCGGTAGCACGGTACTGTGGGCCTGGATATCGTATCACTTTATTAATAACTGGAGAATGTTATTTGTAGGTTCTTATTATTCATTCTTGACCATTTAGGGGCACGATCCGTATCCAGAAAGGGAATCCTTTACAGATACTGAACTCGGAGTGGAGTGACCTAGGTGATAGAACCTAGCCGAAGAATATGTTTGGTGTCGTAGTTAAAATATATCCTACCATATGTGGCCCTGGTGCCCTTTCCACCTTCCAATTCTTTTAACCGAATCAATACCGGCGAAATGGTCAACTTGGCCTTATAAGTTGTTGCTCCGCCCAATAAGGCCCCTGTTTGGGACGACGAACCAGTTCCTTCGGTTTCACTCACAACCACAAACGATGCTTCTCGAACGCGAACACACCCAGATTGTCATTGCTGCTATGACACCCATTTCGTCCCCTCACTAACAGTCAAGACCCATAATTTGATCGTCGATGGGGTCCGCCAGAGCTTTACCATGTGCAGTTGGGGAATTCCACATGGATAATGTTTATTGCCGGTGATGGGGTTACTTATGCAGTGGTTGAATTCGAGATCAAGACAAAGTGTATAACAGCTGAGGTGTCAATGAATGTATGCGGGGGTCATCTAGCGTAGCATTTCGCGGAATGAACAGACTGAAACCGGGCCTCTGAGCGCATGGGACGATTAGGTGCGGCTCCGATCGCAGATTTTCCTGAAATAGGTCGGTACGGGATGATGCTATGCCGTTACCACTCCCATCTGTTACACCGTCAAGGGCAGACTTCTGGTTCTGGGTATGTCGCTCTATGTAGCAGTCACGGTCTCGCAGGGTTGAGATAACTTGGCCTACATGTTGCATGGGAAAGAAGTGTCTGTATCCTCATTGCTTTCGAGATGTATATACGTCTAACGAAGGTAAATCAGCTACCTAATATATTAAAATGGCGCCACCGAGGGTCTTCATGTTGAGCCAGAAGCGACAGATCCTGGTCCGCAAGGAAGGAGTGGCTGCTGCAGGACTCCTGTGATAATGCCCCATCAGAAGTCCACAGCTTGAGCAGATCTGCTTTAGGAACACAAATGCTCGTCTCCACATTCAGAGCAATCTTCAAGGATCTCACATGAACTGTCTCAATTGGGTTTGAGAGATGGACGTATGCTGTGAAAAGGAAGGCGTTACAAAGTGGATAACTACCATTTTTGGAGACAATGACGGAATTACATTCCCTATTCCTGTGGTCAGTAACGAAACATCCAATTTGTATGCTGCTGCGTACAATGAAAGTAATTATCATGGACAGCTGACTTACAATAGCCAGTGACACCGTATATCAATCGATGTCGCCAAGCAAGTTCGCAGCATCCACCACTGCTATTGGAGGTACCTTGGCACCGCATGGAGGAGGAATGGGGATCTCTTTGGGGTGAATCAAGTTGAGCGAAGAAGACCACAGCTCCTGCGCGAATCCACTCAGCGAGCCAGCGACCGAGGGAGTCTGTGTGGGTTCGGAGGCCAGGTGACGCGCAGGACTGCCAGTCGGTGACAAAGCGACCCACCACTCGGAGTCCGACAGAGCGCGAGACGCCGGCCAGACACACCAGACCATCAGAGCGACCACGGCGCCAATCCAAGGGTAAGAGGTGCGTGTGGCCGGTGGAGAAAATGTCATCTTCGAGAGGAAGAAAATCGGCAAGAGCGGTTGAGCCTAGACGGGAGCAAGTGAGGAGGTAGTCCACCAGACGTCCTCCGCATGGAGCCACTGGGGTAAGCGGCGCCACTGTTTCACTAGCGGGGCAGGGCGGACGGGATAGCAAGCTGGACGATGTCTGTTGGACCTGATCACGTCTCGCATTGACAGTGCAGGTGTTGGCGGGAGGTTGGGAAGCTGGTATAGTGAGGAGATTGGAGGTAAGAGGCGGGTATTTGCGACGCAAGATTGGGAGGTAGTTACATAAATCCTCCAAAGTATGACTGTCCAGGAGATTACAACCGCGCTGCAAATTTAAAAACAAAGATCCACAATAAAATGAAGAACTAAAAGATCCAATTTGGGGTCAATTGTTCGCGCCTAATCAACCGAACCCAACCATTTTGATTAAGGTTTACTAGCCGGATTTCGTTCAAACAAAGCTATCTATTTGATTCTTGCCATGAATCTGTATCGAGCCTTATGTTCAGTGAACAAACCACTAGACTGTTTGCAAGTCTATTCACCTGAGCCTAATTGTTCAATTAAACCCCAAATTTAACTCACCAATAAGTTCACCACAGTGCTAGTCATCGAATTGCCAGGAGCAATATCGTGCTCACGCATGAGAAAAACATCATAACCAGAGGAGTTGTCAACAGTTGCAGTGAGATATGAGGATTGGAAAACACTGCAAGTAGGCAGTGAAGAGTTGGAGCCATTTTTCTCGGGCTCTCGGGGCAAGGATTCTTCTATACTGGAGAACGACGGGGCCTGATACATACCATCGAGTGGGTTTTCCATCTGGAACGTTCATAAATGAGGGTAAAGTGGCAATTTCATTAAAAGCACAGAGGAATTGTCAAAAAAATGTAAACCTTTGAAGAGTTAAAAATATGCAACTTAAGCACTTTCCTGTGGAACACAATTGGACTCGAGTAAGTTGATTTCAGCTTGTAAGGGAAGAGATGAGGATATGAGATCGTTGGTAGTATCCGTACTTTGCCGTGGATTTATGACCGACATTGGGGTAGTTGGTGGTGGTCTATCCAAATATAAGAGTGGAAATTTTGATGTGAAATAAGCAGAATATTGCACTGAAGAAGTGCTCAATCTTGTGTAGAAAAGTGGGTTAGTAACACGTTTACAATGGTCCCAGTAAAATGCGATTGAATGCTGACAAAACTATTATGAAGCAAGGAAATCTTACACTGCCGAATTATTCTGAAAGGCCGATGGAGAAGATGCTGGAGGACTATCAACAAGATTGTGGTCATTCAAATCACCATCAGATGAGGTGTGTGCAGAATCAGAATGTACATCCAATTCAATAAAATCCTCATTAAATGCACGTAACGCATCACTTGGAACAACAAGTTGCTGAGTTTGACTGTTGCTTTCAGCATTTCGCCGAACTAGAGCAGATGGTGCAAAGAGAGGATGGCCGAAAAGAACATTGGTATAATACATATCTGCAGAAGAATGATCAGCACTTGGCGAAGAGGATGGCACCTGCATAGCACTTGGCACTTGATCATGCATTGTGGAAGACAAAACGTATAAATGCTACATTACAGTTGGACACTAAAGAAATCAAATCGCCCACAAATAATCAGAGGTGTAAAAGGGTGAATTCAAATCAGTAGCCCTAATGATAAGCTGGGAAATCGACCGACGTCGCGCAAAGCTAGCAAGTATCGGAAAATTGGGAATGACAAAGCTACCGAAGAGCACGTACAAGAGGTCACACGGAACACTTCCACAACCTCGCACACACGTAAGACACGCTTAAAATTCTCAAAAAACCTTTGAAAGAGGCACCGAAAATTTAGCACTCGGAACATTGAAACAAAAAGGTGTGAATCTGTTTATTCTCACGAGGCGACTTGACATCATCATGTGAATCCAACATAGAAAATGCTCAATATCCAAAAAGAAGCAAAGGTGTGGTGATTTTAAAAAGGAGAATTTTTACCAAATATTTAACCTCTGGTGCTTTTTATCATGGTCTCTAGATTTATAGCGTTCCGACATTAATTGACAGCCCAGCAAGTAAACTTTGTGGCTAAAAGCCTAAACCTGCACTTTATTTTTGCATTATCTGTCTAGTTTTGTGTGACTAACCGAACGCTCCAACCTAATGGTTTTTTTGGTTTTAATTATGTACGCTTTTAGGTCTACCTAGGTCTTTTTAACCAACATATGCGATGGCTGTCAAGCTAATCCATGCAGAAGTGGCCCCAAGGTTTCGGAAACGTTACATAGTCTGCGATTTTTATCAGTAAGTATTGATAATGCATCAGGGACATAAGCGGAATCTTTTCAAGCAATACTTAGTTTTCAAAACCTGGATTTTTTGCAGTGGTCCCGTTCATGTTGACACAGCTTTTCTTTTCATGGCAAGCTTTATAAAAATCATAGTTTGGTGATGTGAGTTTGTAAATGCTGCAATTCTAAATGTTTTGTTTAATCCTCTTTATATATCAGCCGACTTTGAATATTGGTGTGCGTGTGCGCCTTGCGAGACGACTTTTTTTATTAAAAAAATTTAGCCTTGCGTACTAGTTGCATTTCCTACTCCCTAGTTCCTTTTACCTTTTTTGGCTGTTCCAAACCTAATTTCATCAGTTTTGCAGTTTCAATTATACGCTTTGATTTTTTTGCTGTATTTCTATTTGTTAATATTTTGCTCCATGTGTTCCCAACATTTTGACGATAGTTTAGGAGGCTTTTTTGTGAAATGTCTCCCTTGGTAGCTTCTTTTGTTTCAATGCCTCATAAATATGTGGAAGTAGTTTAAACCCACTATTTTCAATCGTTTTTAGATATCGAATGACGGATATGCAACGGATGGATGACCCCCCGATCACTTCTACCGCGGAAACTTTGCAAAAGGTGATTGCCCTTGACGCCTCCTATTTGCATCAACGCTCCCGGGCTGCGCCTCACCTAAACCCAGAACGTTGGAATCTCTATCTGCGCAGACGATATCAGCTCTCGCAGAATGCTGCTCCGTCGTTTCCCGTTGACCGCTCTGAGTATCTCTACATCCGACAGAACCTTCTTACTCAAAAGTATATTCAGCAATTTCTGTGTTACAATGTATCAGCAGTCGCAGAGCAGTTCTTTTGACAATAGTTTGCCTGTAATCTTCCTTCTTATTGATCCTATATGGATAATTGAAAGCTGCTGTGGAAATATAAGCACTGATTTTTGATATTTATCTTTCCTACTTTTTTGAAACACTTGATGTTCTATTGGTAGTTATTCTCTTAGCTTTGCCTACATAGCTTCGAATAATCTGTTGTCTGCGGGACACATATCACCAGTCTACTTTCCCGGCTTCCATAATAGTCCACCGTAATATTCTAGTTCATTGTTTTGAAAGAAAATTCCATTTCAAATTTTATGCCCCAGCCCATATGCATTTATTCATATTGTTCATGCGTCTCTTCATCTAACGTGTTTGCAGGCCTATCACTCATGACCAAATGTGTTTGTCCTCATCTTTTTTTGTCTATCTATCTTTTAATTTTTATGCTAGATAGCCTAGCCTAATTGTTTAGTGCGCATAATTCTAAAAATTAGTTTCGATTTTGCTCCAACCAAGATTTATAAACCTTAGTTGAAATTGTCTTGTGGGAAAACTGGTCTGCAGTGACTGTTGAAACCATTTGTATCTATTAGTCATCATTTATGTAAAGATTAGGGTTATTTTCCCCATTTTTCTTGTTTCAGCATCTTTTGTTACCATTTCTTTTTTCTTGGTTCACAGATATGGGCCCAATTCTCGGTCATCGTCCAACGCGGGCACCGTCACACCTACCACCGGGACGACTCTCTACGACATGCTTCTTCTCGATAGGCAGCAGCGCCACCCACCCTCCCGCCTCTCATCGTCATCATCATCATCGACTTCCCAAGTAGGCTCCCCTTTCATTGGTCATATTGGCGTTCTAGTTATTAAGGAAAAATATTACTCACCTTTTTTGTACAAGCTTCCTGCTTCTGCTCTTTTGTTGGATTGGTATTTTAACGGATGTGGGCGCGAACTTTATAATCGCCTACTACCGGTCTCTTTTTCTTTACAACATTTAATTAGCCCCTAAATAAGAGCAGAGTCAACTACTCAAAACAAGCTATCGAAGAACGCATGATGCGCTAATTTTTCTTTTTCATTTTGCGCATTTTAGCTGCCCCTCGCCGAGTCTTCTCTACGCCGGAAGATTGAGAATGAAGCTCCCGTCAGCAAGGGCTACGCTTTTGCTGGCATCGAAACCATCTTTGATCACCACAAGGGTAGGTAATCCTTGATTGTGAACACATCTGGATCTTTATAACACAAATCCAGCGTACCCATGGGGTAAGCTGTTATTGTTTTCGACACATGTAGATACGATCACACGAATCCGATTCGCACACAACGACTCGCATCGGCTGGCTATCGCCTCGGCTGATGGAACCGCTTCAATTTGTCACATTTCCGAGGCGACAGGGGAGGAGGTGGCGGTGTCACACAAAGTCGACTACTTCGAGCCGCCGGTTCCCGACAGCACCCCAACTTCGGTTTCGCCATTTCCACCGGCGGCGCTAATGGACATAGCATGGTCACTGGCCAACGACTTCGTCGCTACTGTCAGTCTGGATGCCTCGTTGTGCCTTTGGGACGTGCAGCGCCAGGGCTGCCTCACGCGACACTTCCGCGATGTTGCCTCACCTGGGGGAGGGCTCCTTGTCTGTGAATTCCATCCTATCAATAATAACTACCTCGTTCTTGGAGATACTCTGGGTCTCGTGCAGGTATGCGTCCTCTCCCTTGGACTTTAACATAAAGCCGACCGAAGTGGCAGTTTTATTGGTCTAATAACTTGGATATATCATTCCATCACTCTGATCAGTAAGGAAATGGGCGATGAACCAAACTGATGACGCCTACGCAACCAGTTGGAAACTCATTTACTCGTTGTTTAGGTGCTGAACCTTTCAACTGGCCGAGTGGTCAAAAATGGTCGTGACAAGTTACACACTCCGCCGCGGATGCGAATAAGGCTGCCGCCGTGTCGCAACCGCACAGATCTCTCGCACTACCTGGGTCGAGGCTGTGTCACTGCCCTAGCCTTCGATCCACACTCCTGCCGCTTATGGGTGGGCACCGATTTGGGCGTGATTCAGGCTTACAGCTGCAATGAGGCCACCGGTGCCCTCGCCCGCCTCTCTCGACTTACTGTCCCTCCACCTCCCTCCACACCCCTCCTACCCACCGTAACTAGCCTCGCTTTCTGTTCCTGGCTTAGCCACGAAGACAGCTCTTGCTACCTCCTCGTCAACGCCGCCGGGGTAGGCCTTCTGTTGTACCACGCCCAACCGGATAACGGGAAGCTGGAGCTGCACCAACACTTCGAGTTGCCGCACTCACCGCTGTGCAATCCCCCAGTCACAAACTATGGCCTCCACCTTCTTCACTCCTGCTTTGCCCCACTCATCTCCTTCCGCTCCTCAGGTACCGCCTGCGTTATCTCGGCCAGTGAGGACAGAGGCAGCGTGTACGTCTTTGAGGTGTCAACGAACGCCACCTACTACACACAAGATAGAAAACGAAGCGGTGCTGTGGTCACCCGTTTACAGGGTCACGATTGTGAGGTCGGCCGAACGGTGACCGACGTGACCCTGAGCTGGGACGAAAGTTTCCTGGCCTCGGCAGACGAGGCTGGGGTGGTCATCCTGTGGAGACGCCAAGCTGCAAACTAATCACCGCCTGTGACTACTTATTACTGTATTGCCCTCCTGTTTTTAACACCCGTCCCCTGAACCGAGAACGGCACTCTTAGGGGAGGAGTTCAGCTAACCTAGGCTTGTGACTAATTTCTACCAGATTTGCCTTAAGGTGACCCACCAGATATGCGAAACTGCCAAAACTCTAGTCTGTCGAGGTACGACTTAGGTATTGTCGCCTCCTTCATAGTTGTGCGAGGGTTGCACACAGCCAAATCGTCGCGCTCGATGATACGGTTGCGAATAGTTGCGGAAACCAGCACGGAACAAAAAAAGAACCTCAAAACCACTGCGCGCATTAGAACTTGTTTGTTAAAAGTTATACAAGCGGAACACGTAAACAGTTTTTGCTCGGGAAAGCATGGGGGTATGTACAAAGACGGGTGTCCAATATTCAAACACGGAAGTCATCCTAGAACTCGCGCCTGTGGTACTTGTTCGGATCATAGAAAGATGTGACCACGAGACGGTTGTCAAACTTCCTACCCGTTAGAGCGGTGGCCGCCTTTTGACAGTCAACTAAACTGGCGAATTGAACAAAGATCTTGCCAACTCCGGGGACTTCCACTCCAGGAATGGGTCGAGGTATTTCCACGCTACTAACAATGCCGTACTTGCTACACTCGGCTCTTACATCTTCAACGATGTCTTCATATTCTTCGTCATTAGTCAAGTCCTCCGGGTCAACCATATTAAGAAGACACAAGACCTCCGTCGGAGGGCCACCGGAACGGAAAATTATGTTACCAGAGCCGGTTGTATTCTGTACAAGAGCATCGTTAAGGCCAGGCACCTGAATGAGTGGTGGGGGCATGGCACCGCCGGCGTTCTTTGCTCCCACGCTGGCACGCTGAACAATAAGCTTCTTGTCACCAAGTTGCATTCCATTTAAACCGGCGCATGCGTGATCAGTTACATTTGGGTCGACATACTCGCAGAAGGCGTAGCCCTTGGAAAGACCAGTAGAGCCATCCTTAACTAAGTTGAAGCCCTTCAACGGACCAAAACTTAACAGCAACTCTTTCACTTGATCTTCATTCAAGTAGTTCGGCAAACCTCCAACGAATATCTTGTGTGGAGAATCTTGCACAACCGTACTTACTACTCCAGGAACTATTATGGAGGGAGTTTCGCTGACACCAGGCAGTGGAGCATAGTCGCGAGGTCTTCGCAGCTTCAAGGCCTGATTATGGAAGAGAATGCCGTCCAAAGCAAGACCCTGGGTAGTTTCATCCACAGATCTAAATTCCAAAAATGCGAAGTTTTTCTCCATATTAATCTGAACAGCGATGATTGGATTACCCTCCGCTTGAACAAGATTTTGGGCTTTCATTTGCTTATTAAAGAAATCCATCATATTCTCCTCCGTTGCTGTGAAAGGAATGTTACCCACATACAACCGACGGGCCTGACGACATACAGCGCTTCCAGCAAATGGTATATTGGTGTTGAGAGTGAGAGGCGCATTTGGCGTTGACGCAGGCATTGGCACTTGGCCGGCGGCATACACGTTGACGGGAATTTGCCCTGACGCTTGAAGCGCTTTATATTGTTGAGGTGTCATGTGCTCAAAGCCAGGAGGAGGAACATCCCAATACTTGTACACGATGCGGCGACTCGAAGAGCCTGAACGATCCCGGGAGCGATGGCGGCGTCGATGACGGTCACGCGAACGACTACGAGATCGACGGCGGCGCCCGCGGCTACTGCTCCGAGACCGACGTCTGTCCCGTCTTCGGTCGCGCTCGTAACGCTCCTCTTCGTTCTCATCGTAATGTCTTCCACCATCACGATCATCGTCCAGTCTGTAATCGCCGAGGCAAAAGCCGTAACACAAGATTAGAGCAGGCATAATAGGTTAGGTAAAACAAATAATTTACCTTCGCAACTCCTCTTCCTTCGCGTTTGGCCGAGATTCGTCTAGTTCATTCTCAAACGGCGGATAGGATCCGTTACCCTCCGGAGGTGGGGCCTCGGAATTGGGAAGAGGACTGTATTCTCCCATTTTTAAATGCGAAAAAACCTAAAATCAACATTTCAGAAAGTGGGCTAAAACAGAGAACAGAATATAAATTGGACCGCCGCCTTTGCGCGAATTCGGAAGATCCTTTAGGACAACACAAATCCCAACTTGTCAATACTAGTGTTGTAACCGCAAGTATTATGCAGGTACAATGAATATGGAATACTGAACCGTAAAATTAGAACACAATTAACACAAAATATAGGTCTGGGAATTGATAAATCACAGAAAACTGCGAACACGGCAAACTCACTGGAAGAAAGGGCCGAGAACGAAATTGAAACGGACAATATGGCGCCGGCACCCAATGTAACAAACAAATTGTTGGGTTACCAAAATCGAAAAAAAAGGCTTTTTTATTTGCGCCAAAATTGCTCAAAATGATTATCCACATGCATTTTACGGTCTAAGATTTCTCTTAAACTAGTTGTCACTTGTGCGAAACCACAAAACATTCTGTTAAATTTTGGCTCATATTATCGTCTTTGGGTATTTTGTTTATTCGTCCCTTTGTACGTACCACTATTTTTTGTCAGCTGCAGATGCATTAAAGCTGAACATTTTTAGATAAAACAAGCTACTATATTTTGGAGGACAAGGATATTCTTGTATACATTTGCCTCCCCGCAAATTCATGTTTAAATTTTGCACTTTTTATGTTTAGTTCACTATTCGTGTTGCACTTTATTGCCATATTAATGGGACAGGGATAAAATGCGTGTCATGCGGTGAAATTTAAATTAATGTCAGTAGCGCATTTTTACGTCTATCTTAAATAATTCAGGAGCTTTTTGTAGTTCTAGTTGGATTCGTGCTTTATTGCCAGGGGATTTCTACTACAATACAGCTTAGCTTCCCAGAATCTGCTGGGCCTTGCGCAATACCACTTTTCAGTCCAGGAGAATAATTTGCTTACTTCCATAAGATATCTGTACTAATTTCTAACCTTTTTTGGTTGATTTGTGCTACTTTGCATTACAATAACCTAATATCCTAATGGACATTTTTATAAACACACCGATATGCCACCCAAATGGGCGGCACAGCAATAGCACTATGATCTTACATAACACCTATTTGTGCGTTACATACGCAGACAGTGCAGGTGCCTTCATTCAGAGGCATTATTATTGGTCCATTCCGGTAGCTCTTTAACTCGCCTGTATGTCAGTAATATGCCCCAATGCATGCTTGTGTAAATAGAACTTTGAGGTGTCAAGCGGTCAGCTTACGCCATCCACGGGCATTATTGTACTTTCCTCCCATCCCCGTCGTAGTAATATGGTGGAAAAGTAAAAGTAATGTTCAGGACGGTTGAGTGAGTATTTTTATACCTGGCGGAGGTAAAATCCGCAGTGTTGTAACTGCCCGCATGTAATAATGCAAAGTTAAAGACTATCAGAGTATTACAATCTATGACTAGTGATGAATAAAAATGCATCTTTTTCTTAAAACGTGAACAACCCGCAATCTCCGATTTCTTTATAAAAATTACGATCACACTTACTGTTATTTTACCAGTGTCATGAATGCAGAGGTGAAGGTGTAAGGCAAAAGATCTACATTAATGCGTTTGTTTTACTGTACTGCGTCATCTTATAGCTTAATTGGGCTTAATACACTGAAATGGGAAATCACAAGATCGGAGAAATTGTAGGGCGAGACTCATCAGTCTCCACCCCTCTGTCTCTAGCGTTCTTAGACTAGCCCAGTTGATTCATTTAGGACATATTTATTAAAGAAGAAAAGATGGAGAGGGAAAGTACAACGTTTAAGAAGGGGGAAAACTGCAGTCACTATTGTAG